ATTTTTCTATAAATTTTGACTGATATAAAAATTTCTATAATAAATTAAAATTCTGCCACAGCAGCAGAAGTTTCATATAAATAATATTTTAATATTTCATCAAAAACATATATTTAAGTTTTTATAAATTTATGACTTCCCTTTCTATTAGTCCTCTTTTAAATTAATCACTTCAGTATAAATTAAACAAATTTAGTTATGAAAAAATCTTTCTTACTAATTCTAGAATTAAATCAATTCAGCCTTGAAATTGAAACTTTTAACCAGTTGACAGAGGGCATCTGCGATAGCAGACCTCTTTCGATGCGCACAATTAATGAAATTACTATTTAGCATAATTAAGATTCAAGAATTTACTATTTGCGTGCTGCCAAGTGAGCCAAGTGAGCCAAGTTCGCCTCGATACACTCTCAAACAGCTTGCCGCACAGGGCGTATACATAATTTCTATATTTTTGCTTTTGTTGGGGCAGAAATTAATTGCCTAAATGACAGTGTGACAGACGTGTCGTGCCGCCCAGAGGGCAGCAGCTGGGTGAGCTAATAGAGTAAATTGCCGTTTACTGATAAAAGTATAAAAAGCAACAACAACAACAACAACATTTATTTACTCAGCGGGTGTTTGGCCTTAAAGCGATATGCAAAGCAAAAGTGACTTCGCCCTCAGCCGCATGACGTGTGCGAAACAAATTTAAATAAAACAAATATATATATATACATATATGTATGTTTATATACGATATCCAGCAATATAAGAGATTGTTACAAATTATTGCAGAGCCATTAAAAATAGATATTAATCGAGTGCAGTGACTCGTCAAGTGGGGAGCGAGCGCGCTGCTTCATCAAAGTTATTTATGACAAGACGCATCGAGTGTCTGGCACTAAAAGTGGAAGCGTTTCACTTGTAAGGCTTCAATAGGGATAACGCACAGTGGTGTGGTAGTTGATGAAAATTGGATGTAAAGCCTTGAGAAGGTATTGATTGATGGAAATTGTAGAAAATCTCTTAAAATTAAATAGAATTTTAAGCATATGCCTAATAGGAATTTATTTTTAAAATATTTCATATCAATGCTAGGCTTATATTAGACTATATTGCTCACATAAAAAAAAAAAAACGTTTATATTTACATATAATATAGAATTATATATTTTACCTTACTACAAGCATTTTTAAAAATTTTTATTTCCATTCTAAAAAACTCTTTAATTGACTTTGGCAATTACATTTTGACAATACATTTTAGTTAAATATTTAACAGTATTGTAATGGAGAGTAACTGCCTAATAAATACCCTGAGCTTTGCGCAGAGATCTAGTAGGGAGTAACTGACTATTAGATACCTCGAGTTCTGCGCAGATCTATATTTTTAATTGCTATATTTTCAATTTATGATAAAAATTAAATTCATATAAAGCGAGTAGAATGGGGGCCTAAGGTATATTTTAGTCGGTGACTGTATTTATTATTCCAATCATTTCCATTCCCTTTTCCCATCTTCAATTGCTACCATTTTCCTGCCATTCCAACCCACTGTGCGCTCCCTTCGCATATGCTGTTGCTTAGACTGTGAAATTGAGCACGCATCTCTGTGCAGGACTTTGTTAATCGGATTTGTGTAAGACGAGTCTCTGCATGCGCCTTGAGCCTTGCTCCTCGTCGATTTCACGCCCTGTGCTTCATGTGTCAATGATATTTGTTGCCTTTTGCTTCTTCTGCTTGCAGCTCTGCGATGTGCGCCTCGAGGTGGGCGGCGAGACCATCAATGCGCATCGCGTGGTGTTGGCTTCCGTCTCGCCTTACTTCTATGCCATGTTCAATGGTAAGTGAAGCAGTTAAGAGCTGCAAGAGTGGGAGACCGGACCTTGAGTGCTTCTATTTTCCTTTGACAGATGATATGCTCGAGCGTACACAGGGCCTGGTGCGTCTGCATGATGTGGACAGCTCGGCGCTGCGTCAGCTGATCGACTACACCTACACAGGTGAGATAACCATAACGGAGCAGAATGTCCAGGTGCTGCTGCCGGCATCGGGTCTGCTGCAGATGCACTCAGTGCGAGATGCTTGCTGCAAGTTTCTGCTGCGCCAGCTGCATCCATCCAACTGCCTGGGCATACGTAGCTTCGCTGATGCCCACTCCTGCAAGGAGCTCCACACACGCTCCCACAAATATGCGCTGCAGAACTTCCAGCAGGTGGTGGGAACGGAGGAGTTTCTGCTGCTGCCCTTCGAGGAGGTCAAGGAATTGATATCGAACAGCCAGCTGAACATTAGCTCCGAGGAGAAGGTGTTTATGGGCGTGCTGAGCTGGGTGAAACACGATCTGGCCAACCGTCGACTGCACATTGCCGAGCTCATGTCACATGTTCGCTTGCCTCTGGTCAGCCGCGACTTCCTGATGAGCTGCGTCGAGACGGAGACACTGATGCGCGACGACTCCGAGTGCAAGGAGCTGCTGCTGGAGGCCATGAAATACCATCTACTGCCGGAGCAGCGCAGCCTGATGGGCAGCCAGCGCACCCAGGAGCGACGGCCCGAGGGCATGAGACCCTACATCTTTGCCGTGGGCGGTGGCAGTCTCTTTGCCATACACAACGAGTGCGAGGTCTATAATCCGCGCTGCAACAGCTGGTCGCCCGTGGCGCCGATGCTCTGGCGTCGCTCCCGCTCCGGTGTTACTTCGCTGCACAAGCAGCTCTATGTGGTGGGCGGCTATGATGGAGTAAGTGATCTGGCCACGGCCGAGTCGTACAATCCGCTGACCAACAAGTGGAGCAACATCACACCGATGGGCACCAAGCGCAGCTGCCTGGGCATCTGTGCCTACGATGGCCTGATCTTTGTCTGCGGCGGCTACGATGGCGCCTCCTGCTTGAGCAGCATGGAACGATACGATCCACTGACGGGCATCTGGAGCTCCTGCCCGGCCATGAGCACGCGACGTCGCTACTGTCGCCTGGCCGTGCTGGAGAATCAAATCTATAGCCTGGGCGGCTTCGACTCCACCAACTATCAGTCGAGCGTGGAGCGCTTCGATCCACGCGTGGGTCGCTGGCAGCCCGTGCCCAGCATGACGGCTCGGCGCAGCAGCTGTGGCGTCGCCTCCACCGATGGCCATCTCTACTGCATTGGCGGCAACGATGGCACCATGTGCATGTCCAGCGGCGAACGATTCAATTTGCGGCGCAACTGCTGGGAGCCCATAGCAGCGATGCATTCGCGCAGGTGAGCTGAACTAAGAGAGCTTAGACTTTACCTGAACCTCTATTGTCATCCCTTCCATTTGCAGATCCACGCATGAGGTGGTGGAGGTGGAGGGCGTACTGTTTGCATTGGGTGGCAACGATGGCAGCTCCTCGCTGAACTCTGTGGAACGCTACGATCCACGGCTGAACAAGTGGAGCGTGGTGAATGCGATGGTGGCGCGTCGCAGCTCTGTGGGCGCGGCGGTGCTGGAGTGCTTCCATTTGGAGCGCGGACTRGTGCAGACGACGAACTTATGACCCCCTCCGCCGCTGAGCAGCATCAGCGAATCCTTCGCCGCTGCCACAGCGAACGGCGCTAGCAGCAGCAGCGGCACCAGTGGAACTCTGAATGTGCCCAGCCGGGCTGAGGCCGCTGCCTTTACGGCCAACATTGCTTTAAGCTCATCGGCGCCCTCGGCTAGCTCCACATTGCGTCGCCATCGACGTGAGACGCCAGCGCTGGCAGAGAGTCGGCGTGCCAATAGCAATGCGAGCAGCAGCAGTAGCAGCAACGGCAGCAGCAGCGGCAACAACAGCGAGAGCAGCACCGTTGGCACTGGTGGGAAAACACCGGCGACCGCCTGATCCTGGTCGATGTCGAGCTGGCGACATCCCTAAGCAAAATCACACTAAACTAACATATATACAAAGCTAACCCCAACGCGCCTATGGCAGGAATTATGATTGATTGATTGTTCGAGTTCGTTATTACAAATAGATATGATATGATATGATATAGTAGATATATATATGAGCATTGCTATGGGAATAGCTAATGGCGTCTTAACTGAGAAATCAGGCCACCTTTTTATTGCTCAAGTAGTAGATCAACAAAACAACACCAAAAATTAATCAATTTGTATTTAAAGTGTTTGTTCCACAATTCGACTTCGAATTCGAAATCGAATACACTTTAAATACATCAAGTTCTATTGTTAGGCTTATGCAAAGGATTTGATATAGAGTTTATATAGTGTAGTAGAATATTCCCTATTCTAATTTTCCAGCATTCTTTGATAATTCTAGTGTCTTCATTATCACTAGAATTTGGAAGCTGTACTGCATGGAATTTACTTTATAAACAAGCTATATAACTTGTATATGTCCATTGATTCATTGAACACTGAACCACAATTTGAAATTTTACTTTACAGCATAAGCATAACAATAGATATATATATATAGACATATATATATAAATATACACACACATATTTCTAGTCAAGATCTCGCACGAACTTAAAAACACTCCCATATGTAATAGCGATACAAGGAAGGAACCTAATCTGCCTACAATTTACATTGAATCTATCTATACATACATATTATAAATTATACTATATATATATACATACGATTATATATATATACACCACACCACTCTCTTATGTACTATTATGTATTTTATACATGCAATTATTATAACATATAAGTAAATGTTTCGTATTTGATGAAATTGAAAATTTCATAGATAATTTTTCCAAGGGCTCCACGAATTGAAGATTTTTATAGTTATTTGTATATATATATATATATGATATATATATTTGGTCTGTGTAGGTTCTTGCTTTGTACTGGGGCTTTGAGTTATTGCTCGTCTGCTTCTGGTTGGTTTCCTCATCGGGCGATCATTCAGAGTATGCGGTCGGCGGTGCTGCGTGCCACATCGCCCACATTCGCATTCGAGTCGACGGCGGTTCCTATTTTGCGTGCGTCTAGCCAATTCTTGGGCAAGCCGGTGCCAACTGTGAAAGGTGTAAGGGTTTAAGGTATTTTGGAAAAACAAGTTATGTTGTTTCATTTTAAACATCAATTTGTTGCTTAGAGGTTTTTCGACATGGTTTTTCTCAATGCGCATTTATTAACAGTTTCTTTCTTTTTTCATGATGAACTCTTGAATGGGACAAAACGCTAAATGCTGCAGCAATAAAGCCGCTTGCCACACACCTGTGCGTACCTTGCTTCGTCTCAGTTCAGCAATGCGGCAACGATATGAAATGAAGTTGTTGACGCATTGCAAGCTGAATGCAAATGTGATGAAAAATTACGTGAAGCAAAGGTAAGCCGAAGGCGGGCAACCGAAGAAAATAGAAGATTATATATGTATATAACTAAACGGAACTTAGGCACTAGGCTTATATATGTATGCAATTCGCGTAATGAAACAATTTTAAACAATCGCAATGAAATTTGATTTGAACAATTATCTTATGGTATTATATATAGCCCGCTTACTTAATCCAGATGTGGAACTGCGTTTGCGCGTTTTCGCATTTTAAAAAGTGGAAAGAAAAATAGAAACGAATTTGGCAAAGAGAAAAAAGAGAAATATATAGAGAGATATAAGGTGAAACGATTTAAGAAATGAGTTATACACGCTCTATATATATGTAGATAAAGGTCTAAAATTGTTTTTGGCCAATGCTCGAAACCAAAAACCAATCAAATTTTTTTTAGTTTTTTCCATGTGTTTGTTTGTAACTTAAATGTGTTAACTCAATGACGAAACGAGTTATTTACTTTTGTAAACCTTCTCAGTCATATCATCGAAACCAGAGTCCTGAATGTTCAACATCAAGCTATCAGCGGACAAATAAACCTTGTTCTGTGAGCTGGCAATCTGTGGAGGAAAAAAGGCAATCATAAATTCCTTGTTTTCCTTTTCTAAAGAGTGTACTTACCGTGCGAGCAATGCTCTGGGCGGCACGCAGTTTTCGCAACTTGAGATAAGCCGGATTCTGCTTAACAGCCAGACCTAAGTAAACATAACAGTTAAGGTGCAAACCAAGTGCAAGAAATATATATATAAA